GGGTAATTATTCTACCAAAACAGAAAAGAAAAGGGGGAATTAATGAAGAGTTAAATTGGACGGATTGTCTTTACCACGCCACTACAAAATCATTCGGAGCAAAAACACGCAGGTTCAAATCAAACAATAAATTATCAGCATTTATAAGCAGATATAAAGCATTTATAAGCAGATATAACGAATTATGTCTTAGTAATAAGGCATGATCAGCATTTATAAGCAAATATAAAGAAAATATATAATCGAGATAAAATAAGACAACACCTACCCTCACCCTTTAACCAATCGATCCCATATGCTCTAAACCATCAACACCTTATAACCTACCCATATACCATATACTCTATACCATCAACAACCTAATACCCTAAGCAGTCAGTACCCATTTCCTTTAACATCAACACCTTATACAACAATCGTATACCTATACGCTGATAAAATTTTACATTTTGAAAATACTTGCCCAACTAAAGTACATAGGTACTTCAAAAGTGAAACTCTAACTTTCGTTTCAAAACATAAATTCAAAAAATATCCTCACTCAGTATCCAACCACAAGCCTCTAATTAGTCTACAAGAGGTTTGTTATGTACGAGTGCATTGCATAAAGAGGGGAAATCGGTGAGAGAGTGGAATGGGATCTCAATTAATGAAGAGTTAAATTGGGCGGATTGTAGTTTACCTCGTACCGCTAAATGTGTAAAGAGACACGCTAGCATTTACCAAATTCCAAAAAAGATGGAACACAGAATTATGTTTAAATTGCGTGAACTCAATGAATGATCAGGATTTTAGAAGCAGAAGCAGATGAAAATAAGTAAAACAAAGAATCGCCAATGAGAGTCTGAGATAGACAATTATCAAAGGCCCAACCTAATGACAATCCGGAACTCAGTATCTATTATCAACAAACTAGGTGTCATGGGTCCATGTACAAGCCCACGTTTGAATGTTATTTAAAAGCCTGCAAAAATCAATGATCAGACCCAGTCCAACTAGAATTAGTCCTAAACGCATCGTTAATACATAAACACAAATTAAGGAGACCTCTCCATCTGATTCGAATCAAATTAGGTCTTCTTCATCTCCTTCCTCAATCCTCTGGGCGAGACGAACACTGCATATCAGGAAACCTTAATTTCACCGAGTGATAGAAGTTTCGAGAAAATGACAATAACGCTAAGACAAGATGACAAAGCACTAGCGACATGAACCCTAGGGTTAGCAAATCTCTTTCAAGGGTTCTTTTGCAAACGAAAAGTTTGATGAACACAATAATAGACATGGTCGCCGTAATCATGTTAGAAAGAGAAAGGCGAGTAAATTCCGCACGGAAATAAAATGGCGATGAACAAAACGTCGATTTGTGGATAAAAGGATTTGGGGTTCAAAACGATGATTATGTGAGGATTTCATATTGGATCCCATCTTCTCTTCGAATGTGGATACATAGATTTGGCGTATGAAACATGATGATGTTGGGGATTTGAGATTGGATAGGGAGCTAAATCGAATGTGGATCAAATAATAAAAGGATTTGGGTTTCGAAACGATGATTTTGTTGGAGATTTCAGATTTGATAGGCAGCTTATGATCGAACTTCGAACTTAGAGTTAGAGGGGACCCTCCAAGGCGAATGAGGGATCGTAGAAGGGAGACTGGAAATTGGTTAGGACGGCGGGTCGTATCCATAGGGTTTAACCTCTTAATCGCTATCATTAAACTGGGTACAGTTAGGTTGAAGTCCGTAGAAGTCACCATAAACGCTTCGTGATGCATTTGGTAATTTTCCTTGCCCCCGGTTACTCGTACCCCTGATTTTGCCCTGGGCACCGTAGAACTGCCCATATATATATATATATGGTGATGATGGGTGTACGCCAGGCGTATAGTATACGTCAGGTGATCTAGCCGTTAGATGTAGTTAGATGAGCTCTGACCGATCTCAACGGTCAATTTTTGTTTTTCATTAAATCATACTTCGGGTTGGGGTTTAGAAAATCGGTGCCTGGGGTTTATCCATTAGAGGTTAGGGTATAGTATCATACGCCAAACTCGATTTAATTCATGGTCTAGATAGAGATATCTCGCTAGTAGTACCTGACGTATAGTATACGCCTGACGTACACCAGTCTGACCCACACACATATATATATATATATATATGTATGTATGTATGGTTTAGGCTAGCGTACGCTAACCTAGCGTACGCCCCATTGAGTTTGCATATATAGATCATGAATTAATAGGAGCGGGCGTACGCTATTTAGACAAAGAATTAATCGGAGTTCGGGACATGATACTATACCCTAACCTCTAATGGGTGAACCCCAATCCCTTATTTTCTAACCCAAACCATGATGTTCGTTTAATCTTAAAATGAAAACCAATGAAAATTTCGACGAATAAGAATCTTAAAGATTTTCATTTTTAAGATTAAACGAATCTCGTGCTTTGGGTTAGTGAATTGGGGAGTGGGATTCACCCATTAGGGGTTAGGGTATAGTATCATGTCCCAAACTCCGATTAATTCTTTCTCTAAATAGCAAAAATCAATGGGGCGTACGCCAGCCTTTGCCATATATATATATATATATATATACACGAAATCATATATATCACATCATCCCAAATCATACTATTATTGTATCAGATGAATGAACAGAAAGCCAATAACGTGAAAAATCGATATAATTATTTGGGTTGTTGGAATGAACAGAAAGCCAATAATCTTATAGAGTTGTGTAAAAACTAAAATCTCAATTGAAACGAAGAAGCTATGCATCGGTTAATTTGACGAGGGATTAGAAGAAATACATTGATTAAGCATCCAGCCCCAACGCCACTAAAATACACCCCATCAGCTGTCCACAAAACGCAAAATTGCTTTCCTACTCGTGCGAAATATGGATGAGATTGTTGCAATGCTTGTGTTAATTATAATTCATCAATTTTTTATCAACATAAAATACATGTATTGTTTTTTATGTGACGGAAACAAACATTCAAAATGAATGATTGTGTATTTTTAACTTCGAGCTAGTTGAGATGACTGACATTATATAGTTGAGATTGTTTTCTTTATTTTCCCCCAACTTTAATCTTTAAAATTATATTTTCATTGAAAAGGAGCAGTGGATCTTGGGGGCCGCCCCCAGACCACAGCCGAGCCCTCCACTGGATCCGAAGTTAGTATAATCCTTGTAAATTTTCGATTTTAGGTATTCAGATATGTGCTCGTCGACGGATTACGGCCCAGCCCTCTCTACCTTTTTTCAAACGTGGCCTAGCGCTCTATCCTATGATGGATCCGCCGCAGAAAAAGAGTATAAGTGAGATTTCGTTGAAAATGAATTTTTTTTTCATTATAATTATTGAGACACAATCACAAAAAATTTACAATACATCAAATTGTATCGTACATGTATAATATAATATATTTATTAATCACAATATATCAATTTAACAGAAACCGAACAACTCCTTAGATAAAATTTCATGAAATGTGATTTGGTTATAAACCTCTTCATAACTCTGATTGTGTAACGGAACCATAACCACAACAACTCCAAACGTTATAGACGGCAAAAATAAAAGAATTACAAATATAAATCTGGATAAATTATAAATACATACATAACATCATCAACGTACCCATCATTTTTGGCCGTGGAATGCAGGGCACGAACGCAAAACTAAAGTTTGGATAAAATAAAACATAATATCTCTTAGTAATTAAGAAGTAGCAGTTTACAAAACACATTCAACTTACTTGGGGGAGAAAAAGTATTGGTAGGACAAAAAAACGGCTGTCCGAGCATCTAATATAATGTTCAATATATTGTTTTTGAGCTGTATGTTGTCTTTACCATTTGACAATTTCGTGGACCTCCGATTTGACGATGAATTCTGGGGAACGTGAAGAAGTTAGCGAAAACTTAAACAGCTTTTTTTTATAGTTGTTATAAATCATAATAATAATAATAATAATAATAATAATAATAATTTCTCTACACGAATATTTCCAAAAATCCAGTCAGCCAAAGAGCCCGCTCAATGGGAGCGTGCAAAGGTTCGATTTTGGTTGACCAAAAATCATAAGAATTACAGTTTAATTGTGAAAGACATGTGAAGATCAAAGTACAAATCCACATCGTATCCGGTCTGATTTGGTTAGAACAAATATCACTTCGATTATTTTTTTTAATATTTATAAAATTCATGAAAGCAAGAATCTGACCGTATCATACTCAATTCAATATAATCCGATCCAAACAATAATAATAATAATTTCTTTACACGAATATTTCCAAAAATCCAGTCAGACAAAGAGCCCGCTAAATGGGATGTGCAACGGTTTGGTTTTGGTTGACCAAAAATCATAAGAATTACGGTTTAATTGTGAAAGACATTTGAAGATCAAAGTACAAATTTACATCGTATCCGGTTTGATTTGATCAAAACAAATATCACTTCGATTAATTTTTTCAATATTTATAAAATCCATGAAAGCAAGAACCTGACCGTATCATACTCAATTCAATATGATCCGATCCAAACACTGATTTCATCCAATACAATTCGATACGAACTAACCCGTTACACACCCCCTACCCCTAGCAGCACAAGGATGGGTTTCCTTCTGAACATCAAAATTGGGAATCTCACCAATTAACCACCACCAAGCTGGTAGTCCTCATTATTGTCTCAATTGGCAGATACCCCAAACTTTCCCGTTTCCCATATATGGTTCCCGATGACCGCCAACAACCACCTCTCTACGGCCAATAATTAAACACATCCCTCCTTCCCTTTCTCTCCGCCCTTTTCTCACCCACCAATCAAATCACAAAACCATGAAACACTACGCCAGTGGCGCCGTCGCGCTTCTCTACCTGGTCCAGCTGGCGGCGGGGCAGGCCGGCGACATGTTCACCCCGCCGCCGGCGAGAAACCCTTTCGCCATGGGGTCACAATTCAACCCGACCATGGCCATCATCATGGTCGTCCTCGTCGCGGCCTTCTTCTTCATGGGCTTCTTCTCCATCTACGTCCGCCGCTGCACCGGCCGCCGCTTCCACGGCGACGACTTCCACTTCGAGCACTTCGCCGGCGGCCGGTGGTCCATCTCCGACCCGCCGGGGCTGGACGCCGAGATCATCGACTCCTTCCCGACTTTCCTCTTCTCGTCGGTCAAGGGTTTGAAGATCGGGAAAGGTGGGGTGGAATGCGCGGTGTGCATCTGCGAGTTCGAGGACCACGAGATGCTCCGTTTGATCCCCAAGTGCAGCCACGTGTTCCACCCCAAGTGCATCGACGCGTGGCTCGCGTCCCACGTCACCTGCCCGGTCTGTCGGGCCAACCTGAACCCGGTTCCACTGGACCGCTACTCGTCGTTCTTCCCGTTTCCGGATTCGGATCGAGATGTCCACCCGTCCGAACCGGATCGGGCGGCCCAGCAGAGCGGGTCCGGTGTCGTCGTTGACCGAGTCGATGATGATCATCTGCCACAAATTTCGGTTCGTGCTGATCATCATCATCATCAGGAGAGCATCCAGAATCAAAATAACGGTTTCGATGAAATCAATTTGTCGTTGCCGCACGAGCAAGTGTCGGTGCCGGTGCCGGTCGGGTCACAGAAGAAGCAGAGCGGCCACTCTCGAACCGGTTCGAGCGGGTGGAGTTTCAGGCAGTTGTTTCCCAGGTCGCACTCCACGGGTCACTCGCTGGTTCAATCGGGAGAGGATCCCGAGCGGTTCACCCTGCGACTTCCGGAAGATGTGAGGAGCCGGCTGCTGAGCACCGAATTGAACCGGACGAGGAGCTGTGTGGTGTTCACCAGGGCGAGGAGCGGGAGGAGAGGGTTCAGGAGCGAGGGCGAAGGAGCAGGAGGAGCTGGTGGGAGGCCGAGTAAGATCAGTTCTTCGGGCAGCTACGATCGGTTCGACCTTGATCAAGAAGATCGATCGGTTCGAAAGGGTTCTGCCCCGGGACTCCCACCTCTTCCTCCGAAAAATGGGTCCGGTCCGAGCCGCGGTAAGAGAGGAATAGAAGGTGGAAATGAGGATGTTGGTGGGAGTCTACCAAGGAGGTCTTCTAGATCAGTAAGATCATCGTTTGACAGATTCTTGCTTGGACTTGATACAAATTACACGGCTAATAGTAACCAAAAGCCAATTGGTGAACGATCATTTGATCGTTTGAGGGGCGACAGTAGTAGTCAAGTTTAGATTAACAACCTTTCACTTTGGCACATTGTGTGGTAATTAATGAAGTAATGACACTATTTCCTCTTTTCCTTTTTGTTTCACATCGAATCTAATTTGTACATACCTTAGTTTCAAACTTTCTATTGAATTACAAAAAACAATAGATGAGAAGTCACGGTTTTCAATGAAAGGTTGTAAATAACTTACTAACGTATCAAGACTTATATTGTTGAGAGTTCAGAGCTATTCGGCATATTTTCACTATTTTGTGTCCCTAATGCTAATGTTGGTTCAATTGTAACAAAAAAAAATTCATTTATGTTAAGTTCAATAACAAATTGGTTAACGTTTAAATTTTAACAAGCCATACACGCATCTACATTTCATTAATTAATATATATCTTGATACGTTAAATATCATCGGAAATTTACATTTTGGTATCTAAAAATTTTATAATGACATTTCAGTATCTAAACTTTCAAAATTAACATATTGGTTCAATGTTTATATATCATTTGGATCTACGAATCCAACCCACTAATCCATATCCTCGAATCTACCAATCCATTAATCCAAATAGGGCTAATAAATGGTTATCCGACTAGTTAGTGGTGTAACCAGTAATCGAACAAAAATTGGTGGTTAACGGTTACACTGATAATCTATTAAATAGTATATGGTCGATCCCCGATAGTCAAATTTAGCTAATTACTAATCGATGGGTAAACGATTAATAATCGACGGTTAAAAGGTTAACTAACCAACTGATTATGGCTATCATCATAGTTAAGGCCAAAAATAATAGGCCTCAATGAGTCGTAGACATAGGTGAAAAAATAATAGATTTGACGGCCTACACGATCCCTTGCCTACCTTAGTGGTAATAGTGACGTAGCTTCAAATGAAATTAATTTGAAGGAAGTCCTTTATGACTCGCTCCTAACTACACATTCCCAATCGAAGGCCAAGCATAACCAACGGTCGGACATAGTATAGGGTAAGTAAAGCAATACAATTATCAAATCCACAGTCTCTAGATGTACTGTTACTTTGCCTAGGTTCGTTATCTAGCCTAACAGGAATGGTGATTAAGAAACTAAGCTAATCTAACCACTATTCTAGCTAATTACAAAGGTGGAGCTCACTTAGGTCTGAATCCTCCTAGTTCCTTCATTGGATTGATGTTAAGTACTACCCTAGATTGATTGACTCGATACTTCTACCGTGGAGAATTCTAGCTAGATTGGACTCCCAATTCGAGTTATCAACCCCACTCAATTACACTACCCGGAGAGGTCTACCATTAGGGCTGTCCATTTGGTTTTGGTTTTTTGGTTTTAACCATAACCAAACCAATTGAAAAGCTAATGGTTTCAGTTTTTTGGTTTTAAACCAATAAGCAACTTAATGGTTTTGGTTTGGTTAAAACTGAAAAACCAATAAGAAACCAATATCAACGAAACGACCCCTTTCAACGAAACGCTCGCGCAACTCTTTCCCTAGAACCCTTCGAAATCCCTAAACCCCTTTCGAACGAAATGCTCTCGCCTGCGCACGAGGCACCTCTCTTCAGAGTCTTTTCGTTGCTCTGAATCCCTAGAACCCTTTCGATGCACCTCTCTTCTTCTCGTTGCTCTGAAGCCGGCTATCTTTGGCATAGGCGGAAACCTGAGTTGCTGCTTTGTGGCCGTTGATTCTTAGCTCGAGGAACTGGGTCGGCGAATAACTCCATGGGTGGGCATTGTCCAGCTTGAGCATATTCTGGGTCGTCGGTGTCGATTGGAGAGAACTGGGTTGTCGGCGACATTTTCCTTCTCCTACTCCATACTCTGTTCTAAACTTGCCGCCTCTGTTCAATGGAATCTCAGTGAGTCCCTCACATAGCTTGCTTGCATCTATCTTCCCCTATTCGATTTGTTGATTTTTGGATTTGGGTTTCGTTTCTGGGGCTTGGTTATTGGCTAAAGCATGGTATATGTGTTGATTTTTGGATTTGGGTTTCGTTTCTGCCATATTTTCTGGTGACTCTGTTTGTGGCTTTCATTCAATCTCCCCTGACTTTTTCTGGGTGGTGACTCTGTTTATATTTCCTGGTTGCTTTCTGATCACCGAGAAGTCGTTCTTGCTTTGAAGTTGTTCTGGTTTTGTATGTTCATTTTACAAATGTAATGTATCTCTCTCTCTCTCTCTCACTGGCATTCTCTCTTGGGCGTTCTCTGCCTCATGAGTATTCGATGATTGGGAACATTTGACAAGACACTGTTTTTGTGAGATTTGAAAAAACATGTTATCAGTAGAGAGGGCTTGATTGATGTTTTGGATTTGATATTTCAGTTGGATACAGTTTTGTTTACAACAGTTTTATGGAATGTTTCTTGTTCAATATGCGTATGGGAAGCTGCCGCTTGTTCTGCTTATCCAAGTTTATAGCTCATTGCGTTATCTTTCTCGCATTTTGTGGTATCCTCATGTCTCCCATGGTTGTCCCGGATCTTGAAGAAACTTGGTTTTTTGATTATCCAAAACCAAAACCAAAACCATTAAGGTCCTTATTGGTTATTGGTTACCAATAACCAATAAGGACCTTAATGGTTTTGGTTTTGGTTTTTGCTGATTTGGTTTTTGGTTTTTGGTTTTTCATACTTAATGGTTTGGTTAACCAAACCAAACCAAACTGACAGCCCTATCTACCATAGTACCATACAACTGACCTAGGTAATTGAGGTGTGCACAACCAACTCCCACGATTGGGAAAACCCCAATATGATACTATGGACCCAATCACACTCGTTCATAGAACAACAATGATGAATTGGTAGTGGACCTAGAGAGATATTCTCTCTCCTTGATTAAAAAAATCCCAAATTGAGAGATGAGATCAAAATCCATCAATTGCATGAAATACTCAATTCAATAGATAACAAAGCATCACATTCATTGGGTTTATCACATACACAACAATTAAATCAACTTCTAGATCTAGGGTTCATCAACCTAAGTGAAGGAGAACTAATTCATATTGAGAAGAGAGATTGCAATACAATGCTTGAGATCTTTCATCTTCATCTTCAAGATCACTCTAGATCACCTCCCTCTAGAAATAGCTTCTTGGGTGTTTCGACTTTATAATCTGCAAAATCAGATCAAACACGATCTGGAACACGACCATGTCATCAAGCCATGTTCTCGTCCAAGTGTTATGTTTCATTCATCTGCTGGAGAAAGCAACCCTAACACGGCCATGGAACACGAGCGTGTCCTAGGTTATGTTCTTCGAACTTATTAGTCCATATCGTTTTGGGATGGGCTCACGGTTTCCGGATAGATGTCACGATCTAGGAGATCGTGAACCTTGTAATAGCCCGCGAGACTTCATTTGTCATCTGCTCATGGGCACAGGACAAGGGCCCTGAAACACAACCGTGTTGGCTGGTCGTGTTCCTGGAAGAAAATTGTTAGACACGTGCCCTAGAGAACATGACCACATCCTGGGTCGTGATACTGAACAAGGGCAGGAAAAGGGTCGTGTCCCCTGACTGTGTTCTCTCTACTTTCTCCTTTCACTGCACTTTTGCCTCCATTTTTCTCAAAATTCGTTCCCCGATCATATTGATGTTCTAGGATCTTAAATGTGAAACAAAGCACAACCTAGCGTAATACAAGCCAAGGAACACTAAATACCATGTGAAACGATCAAGAAATAAAAGGTCAAAGACGTATAATTAAGCCCGAATTACTTTAGAAGGAGAACAACAGAAAGTTGGACTTGCACATAGTAGCTCGACAACAATCATTAATATTTAAGCTTCCATGTAATTAAGTGGGGTTTATGAGTTGAGTAATTGTTGTTGTCTATTATTCTTGTTTGCTTCTTTAATCAAATCTGATGGTAGGATGGTGTTAGTGTTATTATTTTGGATTGAGTTTATTATGGATTGATATATATGCTATATTATCTTTTATTCAATGATAAAAACTTAAGAAATAATACATACGTATATAGAAAAGAAATACCAAAAGCAGTTTTCCTTCTCCCTAAAGCAGTGTTAAAGGAAGTGGAAAGTATATGTAGTAACTTTCTTTGGGGGGTGGGTCAGAATGGTAGGGTGAAAGCAAAAATAGGTTGGAAGAACCTTACTTATCCAAAGAAGGAGGGAGGGTTAGGGCTAAGGGATCTTGCTACTTGGAATATAGCATGTATCACGAGGCATATATGGCTCCTTCTAATGCAGCATGGTTCTCTTTGGGTGGCTTGGATATGCTTATATAAGCTGAAGGGTCAGGATTTATGGGAATATGGTGGTGTTTCTGGCTCATGGAACTGGAAGAGAATCCTGAAAGTGAGGCATAAGGTACGAGGACACTTTCATCAGCAGTGGCAACAGGTTTTTTGGGACCAGGAAAGAATGGAAAAATTCTCTATAAAGCGAATCTGGGATACTCTGAGACCTAGAAGGCAGGAAGTGGATTGGTTCAATCTGTTATGGAAGGGAAGTTCTATCCCTCGAAATAGATTCATAACATGGCTCATTCTAAGTAAAGCAGTAACAACAAAGGAGAAGATGGAAAAATGAGGTTATTCAGGCAGTCTGGGATGTGTGTTCTGTAATAGCCAGCTTGAAACAACTGACCATTTGTTTGCTGAATGTGTGCTATACAGGAACCTGAAGGGCCAGTTGTATGGAAGTAGGTCTGGAGTCTCTTCTTCTCTGGACAGTGAGATTTGCTGATTGAGGCAGAAATTTGGTTCTAAGACTGTTGACTCTCAAGCTGGGAAGGCTTTGTGGCAGAGCCTTGTGAGTTTAATTTGGCGAGAAAGGTGTAGTAGGGTTTTTACAGGAGTGTGCAGGGATAGAGAAGTTTTGTGCAAGATTGTTAGAGAGGAGGTAGTAGTGATTTTTGGTAGTCAAGTTTTGGATTCATTCGTATAGAGTTATATTTGCAAACTTGAACAATCCTAACTAGCAAGGATGTTGCTAGTGACACCTTTTTTGATGGAATGAGAACAAACCGATTCATC